CCCAGAAAGGCGCCGTCGTCGGTGCGCTGTGCCAAAACAAAATAGACAGTGGGAGGGGGAGGTAAGACGGGGAAGATAATAGTTAACGCAGTGGCAGTGGAAACTATGGCAAGTAATGGGCTGGTGAGGGTCCCGCTGTTTTTTTTTGAACTAGCAGCAATCCTCTTGATGTGTAGCGAACATGAAGTTAACATAGGTCATTAACAAGAGGTCATTTCTTACAGGATCAGGAAATCCTTGCACGAAATAAGGTTTTGGATCATGACCCACCCTATCAACTCGCAAAAACCACTGCCTTCACTTAGGAGAACAAAATCCGGATTGACAATGCCGCAGACGCGGCTGTGTGGCGCGATGCTGAGCAGTAGACTTGTGATCAGTAATTTTCCCAACCTGTTTGGTTTGAGGTGTACGCGCGGCTTGCAGAAGGCTTTGGGTAATAAATGAGGTGAATGAAGAAAAAAATAACTGAAGAGAAGCCGGCAAGACGAGGGGGTTTGAGAGAGATTCCAACAATAAAATGTTTCAGCCATAATAACGAGTGCTGGAAAGGATAAGTGCGTGAGAAAGATGCCCTTAAGAGCGTGCTTAAAGGATCAATGCGAGTTCAGATGCTTAGTGATCGTTTAGACACGTTTTACTCCAGATGGATCGACCTCGTCTTCTCTACTTTTTCTGGTCAATCCAAACTAACTTAACTGGAAATGGGATTGAATGCGGTAGCTGAAGCCCACATTTAGGAAACGCAACACACAGAGAGAAACCTAACTACACGTGAAGGTTCTGAAAATTAGTAGTAGACGCACGTTCTGACCCAGGTACACATAAAATTGAACCACTGGATTAGTATTTCTTTGGAATAGTGCCTTAAGAACCTTTTAAATCATCACAAGAGCTTGACAGACTTGTTTAAAACAATACCTCAAAATGAACCATCTGTATGACCTGTATCCTGGTCTTATTGTCTATAATGAAACCTTATAAGAAAGAAAAGGAAGAGTAGGAATTATCAGAAATTGGTTCTGCACCAGCCTAAAGCAAGGGTATAATTAACACACCCATTTACATTGGAAGAATCGAACTCAACTCGGCAGCATCCCCGACAACAACCTATAGAGGCCATAAGATACAATGTTCTCCGGCACTCATTCATAGACATTAGCTTCGTTACAATGGCACTCGTTTCAAAAACTTAAGCATGGATAGTACCGACCGCCAGAATAAATGGACCTTATCGCAGACTTAACCACCTAATCTAGGACGCGGAACGTCGACCCCACGATCAAAACCCACGTCTAAAACGGCATTTTCATCAGCTTTTAGTGGCTCCGGGGTATTGAACAGAGTGTGGTATAAAAGCCCCTGTGATGACAAGGGTTAACAAAAGTGGCAGAACTATTTGAATTCGCCTTCCACGGAAACAGGAACTTTTTGTATTTTACCTATTAATCAATAAATTTAATTTGAAAGGAACAAAACAATAGAGTCAGGTCAGTTCGGATATGTTCCGGCAAAATAGTTGGAAATAAATAGTCTTCTTCCTAAAAGGATTTGAAGCTGAAGTGCGGTAAACTAATTGACATGGAACCGACCTGCTGAAATCAGGGTAGTAAATGCAGTTCAATAACCTGTCAGCAGCGAACAGAGGCTCCTGGAGAAGAAGCCCTGAAGATTGATATGAGAGAGGCAAATGGTCCGATGAACTATACCTAACTGACGTAAGTATCCCCATGTAATCTTCCGTTAAGGCACCGACATCACGAATCCAGTGACCGGAGGAGTAAAAAAGGTGGCCAGTATCGGAAAAAAATATCTCTAAGCACTTACAGAAAAGCAGACGGCTGTTTGCACGTCCTCATCCAGTTCTCGTACGACCGAGATGGGCTGGAAGCGGCTGTGTATGAAACGCCTATCATACTTCTGTGAGCAGCGCATGCGCATAGAGCCAGAAAAGGCCTCTCGCATGAAAAGCCTTCGAGTGTAGTCAATTGAGGAGTCCTGTTGGGGCTCGGGGCATCGATGCGGATGGTAGAGCGAGAATCGCGGGCACACAGAGACCGGGTAGGGACACTGGGCGTGTTGGTGTAGGAGGAAAGACTCCACAATCTTCGAGAGGGACATTTCCGAGTCCGCCGGTGCTGTGGGCTGCTTCATGTATAAGTTGGGCACCCCCGGGCGCTCCAGGCGGTCTCGATACA